ATCCACTGTTTTTAGGAAATCCTGAAAATTTAATATAAATTTTATGATGAAATTTGTCCCATACAATGTGGAATATACTACATTATACTATACAATATTATACTATGCTACAATCAACAGATGTAAATAATGAAAATAAAGAGAATGGCTGTTGTTGGCTGTTGAGTAAAAGTACAGATACCTTACAGCGAAAATTACTCCATTACAAGTTACAAGTCAGTCAGCAATTCCAATACAACTTGTGTAAAAGATAACACCTTGTTAAATTCCATTTAAAGTGCAAAAAAATGTATATACATACCTCCATTACTCGTTTATTGATAAAAACTGATTGTGACAATTTAGCAATTTTAGAGAGTATATCCACAATTGCTTGGACCGTAGCAGCAGACTGGATTATATTAATATCATGCTGTTCTGTGGCAATACTGAGGTTAGCCATAAACACTGGAATCTCCTCCACAAGCAAGGACTAAATTGCAAAGTACAAAAATGTTAAAAGGTATTAGACACATTTAAAATGCACAGGTGATTGTTCAATATATACATGATTAATAGATTACCTCAACTTCACTTGTAAGTTTGTCGATAACTTCAAGTACACAGTTGTCCTTTATTGATTTCCAATCACGCGATTCACATTTGTAAGTTATGGTGCCTTTCATGCCATTTCCACAGACTCCTGTCCTCACGTCATTTGTTTTGCCAACTCCAAGTTCTTCATTTTGACAGACATCATCTGACGAAGCATCTGATTAAAAGAAGAAAATGAGATTCAGTTCTACAATTTCTCTCAAAATATCACATTTGGAAAATTTGGGGAATAAATATTAACATAAAACAAATTAATATCCATAAATCCATTCAATATAATACTGTTCAATATCATATACCTTTTCAAAATGTGTTATTCAAAACCAAAATTTTTTAAAACTGTTTACTAAAATTACCAAAACAAATTAGATAGCTAAAATCATCCAATCTAACTGCACAAGAGTTGGATAAAAGCACTTTGATGGTGAAAAGAATAAGAAACTGAAGGCTTACGTGCTGTGCTTATCCTAACTTTAACACTGCTCTGGCTATATCCATAGATCTGTAGTTGTGGCAGATCCCTGAGACGACATGTAAAGATTTCCTCTGTACAATTTCCATTTTGCATTGTATGGATGTATGTGATACTGTCACTTCCTGATTGGGTAAAACAAAATAAATGTATGAATAACATTAAGAAAAGGGTAACACACACACACATATATATAATATATATATATATATATATATATATATATATAT